TGATCATTAGAAATTAGGGAAATCTCAGGAGTTAGGTGATCATCCTTATATTGTAGTGTTTGTCTTGCATCATTGATAATTGATTTTCTATACTGGTTATTTCTCACTACATATTTTCTCTCTCAAATTAATTTTTTTGCTGCTCCAATCATCTTCTCTTTTAGTGTGCTGGTGTGCTAAGGTGCGGGTGACTGGAGATTGGGTGGGTGACCAGTGTTGGCATGAACGCAAACTGAGAGAACTTAAGGTCTCGTTCTACTATTCATGTCTCTCCCTCCATCCCTCTCTGTGTGCAGCGGATTATTTTTCTTGTGGCACTACAATTATTTATGTGTGGGTGGAAAGCTGACTGCTTTGACACTATCTGAACCATGCATATATGAAAGTAACTTTATTTTTTTCCTAAAGTGTGAATTCCTATATTTAGGTAGGTACGTTCCATGGGTGAGGATCGTAGTTGGATGTACAATGAGCGGAAAGGTAGCTTGTTTAGTCCAGTTTGGAAAGCTGGTTTGGACACCTTTCTAGACCATGCCTTTTCATTACCTGAAGCTGCTAAAGATGGGAGATCTAAGTGTCCATGTACTAAGTGTGATTGTCGCCACAAGAGGAAAGGGGATGAAATGGAGATGCATTTATGCCGCAATGGTTTCCAGTTGGGGTATGAGAGATGGACTAGGCATGGGGAGTCTGATGTAAATGATCAAGCAGACAATGAATATGTAGGTAGCTCAGATAGGATGAGTGAAATGCTATTTGATGCTATTGGAGCCGAAGGTGTCCGTCAGAGTGAGGAGGCAACTCAAGAAGCAAAGGAGTTATATGAGCTGCTAGAGGAAGTAGATAAACCACTGCATGACAAGACATCTCACTCCTGCCTATCCATTGTAGCACGACTTATGACCATAAAAACACAATATAATCTTTCTGAAGCCGGTTACAATGAAATAATGAATCTTTTACATGAAGTTATTGGAGATGAGGCTGCCAAGGATGTCCCTAAAAACTCTTATAGGTCTAAGAAGTTTGTGCATAGCCTAGGAATGCCTTATGTGAAGATTGATGCATGCCCCAATGGATGCATGATATATTACAAAACTAACAAAGATAAAGAAAGTTGCTCTATCTGTGGTGAATCTCAGTATGAGGAGCCAACTAGAGGAAAGAAATCTAGGAAAGTACCAAAAAAAGTTTTGCGTTACCTTCCAATTACTCAAAGGCTACAACGCCTGTACATGTCACAGAACACGGTAAAGCACATGGGATATCATGCACAACCCCACAACAATGATAATGTTATGGCTCACCCTTCAGATGGAGAAGCTTGGATGGAATTTAACAAGTTGTATCCAAATTTTGTCAAAGAGGTTAGGAACGTGCATCTTGGTTTGATAACTGATGGTTTTACACCTTTTAGTGCTTATGTTGCCCCATACTCTTGTTGGCCTATCTTTGTTGTTCCTTATAACCTCCCTCCTGAAATGTGCACTAGAAAGAGCAACATCATCCTTGCACTCGTTATTCCTGGTCGTGAACACCCAGGGAAGAACTTCAACGTATACATGGAACCACTAGTTGATGAGCTCTTGGATTTATGGGAAAAACGTTCTCTTACTTACGACTGTTATAGAAAGGAAAACTTCACCATGAAGGCAATTGTGTTGTGGACCATTCATGATTTTCCTAGATATGGCTTAGTAGCGTGCTGGAGCACACATGGAAAGCTAGCTTGTCCAATTTGTGGGTCTGACATTAAGACATTTAATTTGAAGCATGGGCACAAACCTTGCTGGTTTGATTGTCATAGGAGATTTCTTCCAGCTAGCCATGCATTCCGCAAAAGTGTGAAGTGTTTTTGAAACAAAACTAGAATTATCCTCCACCAAAGCACCTAACTGGTGCTGAGATATTGGAACAGTTAAATAATCTAACTCTTGATAGCAAAGGTAACAATAAATATAAAGGGTTTGGAAAGTCGCACAATTGGATAGATATTAGTTGTTTGTGGCGATTGCCATACTGGAAAAAGTTGCTTCTCCGACATAACATTGATCTCATGCACAATGAGAAAAATGTTGCAGAGGTACTATTAGGCACAACACTAGATATCTCACATAAAATTAAGGACAATATTAAAGCACGTCTTGACATGGCTATGCTTTGTGATCGCCCAACTTTTGATTTGATTAAGAAGCCCAATGGCACATGGACAAAACCGAGTGGAAAATATTGTGTTAGTAAGGATGATAGATTGTTATCTTCAAGTGGTTCAAGCAACTGAAGTTCCCAGATCGCTTTGCTGCTAATTTAAGTAAATCTGTAAAGTTGGATAAGCAGAAATTTATTGGTATAAAAAGCCATGACTTACACATAATCCTCGAGCGCCTACTGCCAGTTGCACTTAGGGGTTTCATCCCTGAGAAGGAATGGAAGGATATATTAGAACTGTGTTTTTTTATCGACAAATATGTGCCAAAGAAATTGATCGAGAGAGAATGCGTGAACTTGAGAAGGAGATTCCAGTTCTTCTATGCAAGCTAGAGAAAATGTTCCCACCAGGGTTCTTTAATGTAATGCAACATCTAATTGTGCATCTTCCATATGAGGCAAGGGTTGGCGGACCTGTGGCATTTCGCTGGATGTACCAACATGAGAGGTAATTATTATTTTTTCTAAATAAGTTAGTTCAGCTCGATTCAAATTTTTTTGTTATTATATCACTAAACATTATAGTAATATTTTGCTAGGTACATGCATGACCTGGGCCTGAAAGTGCAGAACAAAGCTAGAGTTGAGGGTTCTATTGTAGAGGCTGAGATTGTGAAAGAGATACCTGACTTTTTTTCTGGATATTTTGCTGACCATGTTCGTACTAGATGGAAAAAGGTTGATAGATACAACAGTAGGGGAACACACGTGAAGAATGATGGCTGCACTTTAGATGTTTTCCAATATCAAGGCACCCTTCATGGTAGGGGCGTGCCTCGTGACCTCTTAGAACAAGAATTGAATGCAGCGAGGCTGTATATTTTGACCAATTGCTCTGCTGTTGGTCGTTATCAAGAGTAAGTGACGCAAATAACAATTTTTAACTGTTCTAGCAGAGGTTCTATAACTTGTATATATTTGTAGGGCATTTATGGAACATGCTAATAACCCCAGGTTGTTAGTGGAGGTCCTTGACAAAATGATGATAGATGAATTTGTGGATTGGTTTAAGAAAACTGTAAGGACATATTACTTTAGCCGTATTTCATGAACACATGTATATATATATTCTAACAGACTTATTTATTTTTATAGTGTAGAAAGGATACCGATGTAGATGAAGACTTGTGGAATTTAGCCAATGGATGCAAATCTAGAGTACTATCATATAGCTCGTATGATGTTAATGGCTATAGGTTCTGGTCAGAGCGATTTAAAAACTCTCGTGCAAAGCTGACCACAGTGAACACGGGGGTTTGTTTGATACCATTCACCTCAGATGATCAACAACTTGACTATTATGGTGTAGTCGAGGACATTATCAAACTTTCTTTTAATGCTGGTAGAAAAATTGAAATGGTTCTCTTACAGTGCCGCTGGTTTGATCCAATTTCTGGTCTTAGATCTGAACCAAAATTAGGTTTGGTGGAAGTTAAGCCATCTTCAAGGCTGGTGAATTTTGAACCCTTTGCCATGGCTCACCAAGCCACACTGGTATACTACTTGCAGTACCCATCTCTAAGGCGTGATTTGTGTGACTGGTCTATTGTTTACAAGATCCAACCAAGGACCTTAACCAACCTTGACATAGTAGATGCACATGAGCCACCTATTACAGATGTATTTTTCCAAGAAGATGAGCTGCAGGGAAGCTTCTCCATTGATGTTGATGGCTTGTTTGATGATGTAACTGTGTCTTCAGAGGCCTTGGATCATGTCCTTGATCCCCAAGATATTGAAACTATAGAAAAGCAAAACAGCACTGAGGATCCATTGGATGACATTTCTTATCATGGGAGTAGTAGTGACCAGGAGCAACAAATAGTTGAAGAAAATAGCGACTTAGAAGACATTGACGAGGATGAGGAAACCACGGATGATTTCTTAGAATTTGATTATGATGATTATTGATTCCTTATTTTTAATATGTACATTAGTATCTTATTATTTAGCTTTCATATTGAACTAGAAATATGTCTTCCCAATCTAAAATGTGGTGCATCCTTGTTTGACTGATGATTTACTTCACTTATTTTACTTGTGTATCCCCTAATTTTATTGGTGCCTACTCGTTCTGTTTAATAAACATTTTATGCAACATACTTATTGCCATGTATGAAGCAGGATGAGTGGCTGCTTGAAGCACAGACCTATGTCATCATCAAGGTCAGTGCGTTCCACATTAGCTGCTGCAAGAGAAAATAATGGATTGGCTTCAGCAAGTTAGCAAACTATTGAGAAAAAAAATACTCGATCAAGGACTGATAGCGGTGAAAGACTTTCAGAAAGAGAGAGACCCACGATCAAGGCTGTTGGAGAGTAAGTAACATTGTAGCTGCTTTAATTTGTATAATTATGTGTCCATATTACATCTATCGCTTGTGTATTAACATAGACTATTGTCTTAGTATTTTGTGTTCAAGTGTTCATTGTTCAGATTAATTTTTAGCAAGTACAGTTTGTCCATGATAGAGAACAATGTCATGTCATTAGCGCACTAGCTTGCTTGTAGATAGTTGGATGCACCAGCACATTTATTTAAAGAGCTTGCAAAGACTAAATAAAGAATGCTGTATTTTTAACTTTCCACATTTCTGTAAGGTAGGAGTTTTCAGTACTGACCGGTTTCATGATGTTTTGCTTACTTTAACATTTCACTTGTGTATTTTATATCTTTTATCCCTATATGATGATGTTGTTTGATTTAATATAAAATTATCAGGCACTGGGAAGTGCATCCTTATCAAAGTTCTCGCAAACCCCCAACAGTAATTGGCGCTCTAGTTCACAAGATGTATCCTGATTTTGTTGATACAATAAATGGGATGAAGCTAGTGCTAACATGGGAAGATTTCAAGAAGACTACCATAGCTAGGGTATCAACTGATAAGAGAGTATTGGAAGAGTTCTGGGTATGTGCTACATGTGCATAATAACTATAGCTTACTAAATAGCTTTGCTATTGTTTAAAAGTTATCTCAACCGCAACTTACTATAAATAATATGGCAGTGGCGTTTCAAGTGTCTTCCAAAAGATAGAGCTGAGGCAGATGCTGTCTTGGAGTTAAAATTTAAAAACATGGTGCCTAAGATGTTGAGTGAAGAGAAGCGGGCTATCACAAAGAAACTATATAAGGATGGTAATGTGCCCCTAGAAGATGTAGATGAATATGGAAATCGTTGGCCAACAAAAGAAGCACTTATATCTGTTAAACCAAGAGACTTTACAACCAATGAAGGTTGGGCTTTGCTATGTGAGCACTGGAATACATCAAAATTTAGAAAGTCATCCTTAAAGGAAAAGCAAAATCGCATAGCTGGAGATAATAACGTATACCATCGCAGTGGCTCAAGAAGCTTACCAGCAACACGCCAATGGCTGGTAAGAACCCAAACCAAAAAGTTGTGACTTCATAAACTACTGATGTACAATGTTCAATACATGTCAAAGCATACTTATACTTTAATTGTAGGCACTAAAAACTGGCGTTGACCCTGGAATTGGTGGCGCTTGGCTGCATAATCATGAATTGAATCTAGAGACAAATGATGGCAGGTTGTGCAACCAGAATGCTGCTGATAAATGGGTAAGTGTTGGATTATTTAGCTGATAGCTCTTGTAGTTGTCTTGTTACTGATCCTCAGCTTTTCTATGTTTTTTTTGGCAAAGGCACAATATGAGGAAGGAATGGAAAAAAGTATGGCACAAATTGGAAAATTGAGCATCTTGAATTAGATGCAAGTGTCATTTATGAGAGTGCAGGTAGAATGCCACATGGTAAGCTAGGAATTGGTGATGGAGCAATTGGTATTGCTGAGAAGGAAGCAATCAAGACAAGGAAAAGAAGTGCACAACCATATGTTTCTGCTAAAGAGAAGCGACTTGAAAGGGAAAATATGATATTGCGAAAAGAATATAGCAACCTTGAACATGTTGTGCGGGTAATTATTGTTAGAATAAATATAAGTGTACAAATAAATACCTATGGCTAACCATGAAGTTTTAACAGGCACTTGTTGCTAAACAAGGAATGGACTTTGATGCATTAGCTCAGGAAACTGCAACTAACTTGGTAAGTTTACTAGCTACCTCACAGAGCACAAATTATTACAATGAACTCAAGCATCACTCTAGTTGATTCAGATTTGAATTTTATTTTTCCCACCTCAATTGATTGCAAAACTGACCTTTAAAGTATAAACTAATATATGCATGACATGCAACCAACTTCTGAATCTGAGGTTGCATTCGCTAGAGAGCATGAGAAAATTGTTCCTAATGCATCTGATCATGTAAGTATTAAGTGTGTTCCAAATGTATCCATGCCATACCTGAAATTATTGCAAAATCTATCTTATATATATTCAAGCTGGTTCATATGCTTATAAAAATAATTTTATAACTTCTATAGGATAACATTGGTGGAGCAGACTATAGTGGTGAGGAAAATATTGGTGGAGCAGACTATAGTGGTGAGGAAAATGAAGATGACATCTATGATTATGATGATGAAGGATACCATTCCCAAGATGATGGCCAAAATTACGAGAACAATGGTGAAGACATTTTCGATGATGATGCTTCCTGGTGATGAGAAGAGATTATATGCAACATATGCAGTGTGGCACTTTTAAGTAGTTTTTCTTATGCCTTGTGAACAGCAGAGCAGTATCTTAGTCAAGTATTTTAATTTGAACATTAATTTATGTAATGTTGAAGAATGTTCTTAGAAACTTTCAGAATGTCTAGACCGTACCTTTCAATATTAAAGAGCTGGTTATGAAATGTCATGAATTGTGAATGTTCAACATTTGTAACTGATCTTCCTAGTTACATATATTAATTATTTACGGCTATAAAAAATATCCCAAGCAATATCGGATGATGGATTATAATAAAACAACTTCATCTCTATATTGCTGATGGTTTAATAGTTTTAGCCGGTGGGAAACCAAAACCTTCACATATATATTCTACTGAGAGTATTTAATTCCAGACGGTTAATAAACACCGTTGCTAATATGTTTCCCCGATGGGTTAAAAAACTATCATGCAACAAATCCCTGACCGGATATGTTTCCTGATGGTTTAAAAAAACTGTCAAGCAACAAATCCCCGATCGGGAAACCCTTGGCAATTCATGTCGGAGCAAAGGCCGAATGACGTGTTTACCAACTAATTGCCGAGCGTCAACCGTCGGAAACATACAGTCAGCCATACAATAACTGACTACCGGTCGGTAAAAGTGGGAATGCCCGACCATGGATGCCCGACGAGAGCTTCCCGATGGTATACGCTCGGCAATTGTACTTCCTAACGGTACAAATTAATGGCCGATGGTTTAATAACCGTCGGCCATTCTTGCGCCTCTAGTAGTGTAGTAGCCCACAAGTAGTCACACTGTCATACTTGAGCCCATATAAACCCAGTAGTCTATCGAGTACCACGAAGGGTCTCGATTCAAAAACTTACAACCAAGATCATACATGAATCAACATACATATCACACGTTACATAAAGTTCACAAATCCAGTTCCATACATCAAAGTACGATTAAAAGTTATTACAAACCAAGTTCAGATAAAATAGTAGCGGAAGCAATTAAAGTTTGAAACCAACATTTCCATTGTTGTTCAAATACTGTGCCAACTCATGATCACAATCCAACAAAAGCATAAGAGAGGGATTAACAAGAGATGCCTTGCCCAGGGCCATACTCCTCGTCCACGATGGGACAGAAGCAGTTCTTATAGTAGCCATGATACATCGTATTAAATGCAACAATGGGAAATAAACTATAACACCCCATGTGTTAGTCATGAGTTAAGCAGCGAAATTGGACTAAAGTAGGATATGTCAAGCAACGATTATGATCTCTAGTTTATAATCTGGAAGTAATGATGAAGGTATTGAGGTCAAAGCTATGAAAATGAGCCCCAACTTGGACTCAGAAAATACACTTTGCTTACATGCAGACCCTTGTTAAGATTATGCCAGAGTAATGTTAAATATGCTTGTTTCATGTACATTACATCCACATGCATCCATCTTGACCAGTGGAAAAGTTGCATGAAGTTTGGAGCCAAGAAATCACATGTAATGATAAGTTATAATCTTGCTTGAAGTGCACTATTGTGTGAATGAGAACATGTGGTGTCAACCAAACCTTGCAACCCTACTTAGACAACTCTATTTAAACTCATGAACAAAAGTTATGAAGGGTTCATGTTGAGCAAATGTCAAGAAAATGCTTCTAAGTGTGGGAATAGCTAAAATTGTCTTTTTCATGTTATGGTCTTGACCTGTGTTGACCCACTGTTTGGAGTGCTTGCATGGAGTTGGATCTTAAATAAAAGTTCAATCTTGCATGGACTACAACAAACTATTTAAGGGTCAAGAGCTAGTTTGGTCCCTCACTTGGTCAAACTAAGGCCTCAAAACTAAACCAGTGCTGTTTTGGATCTCAAAAATTTGGCTAAGGCTGAGATTACAATGTTGATGATGATTGGCATTTCGCGTTCTCGAATTTTTGTTAAGCAACTCAAGTTGAGAGAAATATAAAAGTTGGACTATAAGTTTTGGAGAAGAGCATGCAAAAAGAAGGCACCAGTTTGACTTTGTTTTGACCATCAATTTATATTTTTGCTCATCGTTGTCAATGCGCTGACATTATCATGTTGGGTGCTAATTACCCACTAATCTGTTGCTCTAATGGCTGAGCACCCAAAATACAAGTTGTAGAGCAGATCGAATGGAACAAATTTGTTTCAAGGCCCATAGCCCAGTTCCACACATAGCTAGCCCAGAAATGCCGACGTGGCCTTCATGCGCGAGAGCACGCCCCACCATGCCGACGCGCATCCTGCCTCCTTTGACATGCCTCTGCGCCCTCCAGAAGTGGACACCCAAGCTCCTCCCCTCCCTCATTCGCTCTATCTGCCACTCGCACTGCCCCTCGCTCCCCTCCTCGCTCTGCGCCAAAGCATGGACGCCAAGCACCACCATGGCAGAGCAGAGTTCGCTGCCATCGATGCTCCTACTCCTCCACGTATCCTCGCTCAAAGCCATCTCCCTTGGCCATGTGCGGGCCTGGGTTGTCCACACCGCTGCCACTCGGTCATCGGAGCCGCGCCTCCATTGCTGCCGCTATGAGGTCGCCGCGGCCGCCGTTGGCGCACATGGCCAGGTAGCCACGGTCGGCCTCAGGCCAGGCCAAGGCCACTCACGGGTGCGTGCCACCCCCTGGCAATCCCCCACCATTCCCCGCCGCTGTCGGCCCCTGCTGGCCAAGGCCGGCCGGCCCCAAGCCGTCCCTTGCTCTGTCCCATGAAGAGAAGGCAAAGGACCTAGCGTAGCAATAGAAACAAGTGCAGCGGGCTAAGTGCAAAGTCCGTGACTCATGTAAATAGTGCCTAGAAGGTCCTTATCGCTAGAATTTATTTTCGTGGAAGTTCAGGGGCCTCGGTGCAAATGTGTTTTTCCTCTATTGCATTTATTTGGCTGAAACTTTGAAAAAATCATAATAAATCATAGAAAAATCATAAAATAGAAAATGAAGACTTTTTGTAATCCTTGAGAGTAGATCTATGCAGTAGAGTCATAATATGATATGTGTTAGTAGAAGGTTTTTGCTGTTTTTATTTATCTATGTTAATTAAGGTTTTCTAGGAATAAATTCATATCTAAAGTTGTGGTGCTCCAATTGCTGTGAAAATTTTATGGTAGGCTACTGATGTTGTATTTGTGCTGTGGTAAAAATATCATGTTCATTGGATGCATTATGATTGATTTATTGATTTAACTTTTTTATTGCTTGATAAATGGTTTTAAATAAGTTATAATTTTTATGTAGGTGTACAAATGGAAAATGTGGTTCCACTACCTTTGTATGATGTTGTGCTACCATAATAACATATAATATGGCCATGTGCTTGCAGAAAGTAGTGTGTTTTTTATTTATCTTGCTCTCACATGTTTTCTTGCATTAGCAATTTGTCTTTTTTTGTAATAATTAATCTACAAAACCTGAGCATGAAAAATTTGTGCAGTAGCCATGTTTTGATAACATCTACCACTCATAAAAGTCTCAGCCCCAAACTAGTTGTTCTCATATAGTACTAAAAATAATACATATGTTGCATTATTAAAGTAGAGGATGAATGTTGTGAGCATATACATGTATTTATTGTCATGTGATACTTCTAGTAGCTATTCCTACATGCTATGATTGTTTGAATACCATTTCAAGATGTTTGGGGTAGCATATATGTCAAGAATATGTTAGTTTGTAGCAACTAATGATAGAAGAATGCAGTATGCCTCTCCTGTTTGGGCTGCTTGTACAGTTTTGGTTAAGCAATTAATTTCGTGGTGATAATGAGGATTTCTGTGGATGCGGTGAATACAAAAGTTATAGATAATTTCCTTATCTTACTTGTCCTAAAATTTCATGATTTTAGGCCTGATGGTTTAGAAGTTATAGATTTCAGAAGTTTGCTGTTAGATTTTGCATGTCCTCTGGACAGATCTGAATCACTATATTGTTTGGCTTATGTAAACATGGAATCATGTATTGATGATAATAGGAGAGTTGTAGTGCCTTTTCTAATCTTTCTAAAATGTCTAAGATCACTGCTTTTGGTGGTCTACACTCTAGTTATTATTGTTTAAAGTAGAATGGCAGATTATGTCCAAATCTAGATAGAGTTGCCTTCTTGATGTTGTTTAACCTTGTTAGCTGTAGAATCATCTTAATATGATAATAATAAGCTTTCTATAAAGTTAAGGATCATGCTTGTTGGATGAATATAACTTGAGATATGCATTTCTAAAGTTACTATCAGTTTTCTATCCTTAGTTGTATAAGCTCTGCTTCATGATGTATTTTGACCTTCTTATTGTTGAATCAGCTTTTGGTGTTAATAACAAAGTTTTAGATAATTTGATTAGCTTTCCAGAAAGTCTAGGATCACACTTTTTACATGCCTAGAACTCTGGGTATGGTTAAAACAAGTGACTATGGTGCTGCTGTTCAGAATCTATGTTTATACCTAAAATTGTTTGCTTCACCTTGCTTTGCTTTGTGTGTTGCTAAGTGTGGCTCATTCCTGTGATGGTGTTAAGTTAATATACCTAAAACCTTATGAAACTTGTGTTATGCTTGGTGCTGCCTTCTTTGCTATCCTAGCATGATAGGTTGTGTGATTCTTAATTAAGTAACGTGGAGTGCTTATATATGTTTGGTGCAACCTTATGCTCATCTGGAATACTTTTATGTGAGGCATCTCATATTGCCATTGTTCGCATTCATGCACTTGCATTGTTGCATCTCATCTAGGTACGCTAGATGCACTGCGTGAAGGACGTGATGTTGGAGCCAAACCCGAAGATGGAGTTTGGTGAATCCATCTAGAAGATGGAAGGACTAAGCAAGTGCCAAGATGGGAGCTGCTCGCCAAGCGAGTGTTGTCTAACAAACACTAACCTAGTGTTGGATCCTAAGCAAGCCTCAGAGCATTCTAAGCCTCCTATAATTTTACAAATATCACTTGCGTCCTTTATGTTTGATGCATTAGGTTATAAGAGTTGGTT